CCGCGTGGCACCGACTCCGCTGGACCGCCCAGGAGCCATCGAAAGTGACAATTGTGCAATTCGCCGCCACGCAGGGAGCAACGAGGTCCCCAATGGATCCGCGTGGCGCCCGCCTCCGCTGGACCGCCCAGGGAGCAACGAGGTCCCCAATGGATCCGCGTGGCCCCCGTCTCCGCTGGACCTCCCAGGAGCCATCGAAAGTGGTGACACTTGCGCAGTTCGCAGCCACCCAGGGACCAACGAGGTCCCCAATGGATCCGCGTGGCCCCCGCCTCCGCTGGACCTCCCAGGAGCCATCGAAAGTGGTGACACTTGCGCTGCTCGCAGCCACCCAGGTAGCAACGAGGTCCCCAATGGATCCGCGTGGCCCCCGCCTCCGCTGGACCTCCCAGGAGCCATCGAAAGTGGTGACACTTGCGCTGCTCGCAGCCACCCAGGGAGCAACGAGGTCCCCAATGGATCCGCGTGGCCCCCGCCTCCGCTGGACCTCCCAGGAGCCATCGAAAGTGGTGACACTTGCGCTGCTCGCAGCCACCCAAGGAGCAACGAGGTCCCCACTGGATCCGCGTGGCCCCCGCCTCCGCTGGACCTCCCAGGAGCCATCGAAAGTGGTGACACTTGCGCAGGTCAGGGCCACGCAGGGAGCTACGAGCAAGGGAATCACGGAGGCAGCAGGCAGGAGGAGGCAGGAGGAGGCAGGAGGAGAAGCACGGGAGAAATAGTTGATACCACAATGCTCGATCCAAGACAAGAGCCCAGCACAAGAGGGTTGGGGGTCACGACGCGAGCATGGGCTTGACAGGGAGGGGCACGGTCCGCAGCAGAAGAGGCCGACCTCGAACTATATATATATATATGTATATATATACACACATAAGTATATGTACATGTACACAAACACACACATCCAAGCCAAGATGTCCCGGCCGCCCGGCCGCGGCAGCGCCGCATGACGTCGCCCCACTGATAGGGTGGAGACTGGGAGGTTTACCTGCCGGTCCTTTCCCTCCCTCCCTCGGCTACACGCAAGAGTGACACTAGGCAAGAGTGAACTTTGGCCAAATCCAAGCGCGCAAGCAGCAACTATCGCGTTGCGCTCAGCGATCGGGGGGACCCCGATGAACCTGCACCAAAGGTCACTCCGGCGAAGGGCTCTCACGTGGACCCACACCCTCCCGCCGCCGTTTGAAACAGCGGCGCTGAACCGAGATGGCGTGCAGGTTGGTCCCGACTGGCGCGAAGTCGAGCGTTTCTTTCGGGCCTCGCCACGGCCCCTCCGTGCAAGTCAACTTGCTGGGCTGTGAAAGACAAGCGCCCTCCTCTTGGGACGGACGCCCTGGCCCGTCACGGAGCCGCGTTGGCGAGGAGGGAGGACGAGGGAGGAGAGCGCTCACAAAGAGAGGGGACGGACGGCCAAGCGCAGGGGACGAGACGAGAGGAACGATCAGTCAGCAAGGTAGCCAAAGAGAGACACGTAGTGCGCGGAGAGGTGCGCGCAGTCAGCTCTATGCGGGCGAGCGGGCGCAGCAGCACCACGGATGGGCGCATGCAGATGGTGGTGAGGGACTGGGGAAGGAGGATGAGGAGGCGGTGGCTGTCAGGCCTGGAATGTCGCTCCGCCCGTCTGGAACCCGAAGGCCCGAATCATCTGATGTCTCGTCTGAATGCCAAAAGGCCTCTGTCGTCTGATGAAAAGGAAAACGCGTGCAGCGCAAGACGATGGGCTAGTGCTCTGTGTGCCCAACACGTGCCTCACCCACTTCTCCTCCCACTGGTTCCACCTCCCCTTACCGCATGCCTCCTCCTTTCAGTCCAGACCCTCCTCCTTGAAGAACTTCACGACCTGTTGCTCCCAGTGGCATGGGGCAAACCGGCGTGGGTGCCCTTGGTGCCGCCATGGTCTGGTACTGTCTTCCTGACATCTGTTCCAACAATTCCATAGAAGAAGCGCTCGACACGGCAGACCGCCGGGTGCGTATTTGATTCTACGGGCAATGTGGCCAGCACATTGGGACGCACCTGTGATAGCCATCATGTTAGCGTCGACAGTGTGTGCGTCCAGTCGTATAATCTTGGTATATCGTCGCCGTAGTTCGAAGTAGCTCTCATGTGTATCATGTGTTAGGCCTGTGGTGGGGTCGCATGGTATCTCAGACATCGTCGTTGATGCAATCCCTGATCTTCGGCACCACTCGGACGTTGTAGGTCCAGCAGGAAGCGGTCCACAGAGCAGAGCGGCGGGGGGAGGAGGAGGAGGAGGAGGAGGAGGAGGAGGAGAACATTTGTTTCCACCGCAAACGCTCTCCCAAGACAGATCACCAACATGGGTCGGCCGCCGAAAATCTATGGACATTCGAAATCCATGGCCGAATGCGCCGTAACCGAGGTGCCGAGGAACATCGTAGGCCCAATAGTGAGGAGCGAGGAGGAGGAAGCGGAGGAGGAGGAGAAGGAGCATGAGGAGGAGCAGGAGGAGGAGGAGAAGGAGGAGGAGGAGGAGGAGGAGGAGGAAAAGGAGGAGGAGGAGGAGGAGAAGGAGGAGGAGGAAACGGAGGAGGAGCAGGACGATGCACCCACCCTGGCGTTGTCCCAGGAGGAGGGGGAGAGGGGGAGGAGGAGGGGGAGGAGGAGGAGGAGGAGGATGAGGGGAGGAGGAGGAGGAGGAGGAGGAGGAGGAGGAGGAGGAGGAGGAGGAGGAGGAGGAGGAGGAGGAGGAGGAGGAGGAGGAGGAGGAGGAGTAGGAGTCCTCCTCCTCCTCCTCCTCCTCCTCCTCCTCCTCCTCCTCCCCCTCCTCCTCTTCCCGCGCCGTGGCGGGGCTGGGAACCGATCGGCGGCCATCGCCGGTGGAGAACTTCTCCTGGGCGCGGGCTCGGCGCCGGGAGGGCGGCTGGGTATACCTGCATACATTGAAGAGATGCAGCATCGGATAAGGAACCAGTGGATAAGGAATCCATGGTCTAGAAGCTAGCGGAACTCCAATCGTGGATTGGCCGTGGATATCACCGCCGCCCTCATCAGATAAGGGATCCTCCAGGGTCTGAAGCCTCCTTGGCACATTCGTTAACCAACGCCCCCACCGTATAGCATCTACTTGTAGACGTATTTGTATACATATGTGTCTGTAAAGAGGGCGAGCAGGAGGCACTGCGTGCTACTCTTGGGGGTCGGCCATCCTCGAAACGGGCCAACAGGGATCGAAGCAGAACGTGTGCTGGATCGGGCCGCGTCGGCAGGGAGTCGAGAGCGAATCGGGTCGGCCGCGCCCAGATGCATGCAAGAATCGGGCGGCGTCGCATTGTCGGAATCTCGGAATGGAATCGGATGGGGTCGGCCGAAATCAATATCGAATCAGACAGATGGGATCGAAGTGGACCCTGGATGGATGTAGATGTAAGTTGGCGTCTCGGGGAGGATCCTTCCTGGATCTTCGAAGAGTAAGCTGCCAACTTCAGAAATAAATGTGAACTTTCGAGGTTCCCAATGAACAGTTGAACTCGAGTGGAGTGCCGGGGTGCGCCGAACAGGCTGACATGCGGAGGGCAGAGGCAGGAATGGTAAGCAGGGGGAAAGGGGAGGAGGAGAGGAGGACTCGGAACACTGTCTCTTCAAAACGAAGATGCAACACCACAGTCGGGGAGACGGAAGACTCGGGTACAGAGGACTCGGGTTGGCCTGACGGGGCCGTCGGGAAGATGACGAGACCCAACCTGAAATCTAACGCAAGCTCCCGTTGCAGACATTCCACGCAAACTGGCACGTCAACACCCGGGGCGCGCCAAAGAACGTAGGCGCACCCGAGCTCCAGCGTACACGAGTCTAAGTTTCCCCGAGGGTAGGGGGGGATGAGGGGGAGGAGGAGGAGGAGGAGGGAGGAGGAGGAGGAGGAGGGAGGAGGAGGGAGAGGAGGAGGAGGAGGAGGAGAGGAGGAGGAGGAGGACGAGGAGGAGGAAGGAGGAGGAGGGAGGGAGGAGGAGGAGGAGGAGGAGGAGGAGGAGGAGGAGGAGGAGGAGCCCAGCGTACAGGGGGGATCAGCTCCACTCTAAGGAGAAAGCACGGCGGCGCCTGGTGACGAAGCCGCACGGGTCGCGGTCGACGTCGGGCACGTGCGGGCGGCGACGCGGGCCGCTGTTTCAATCAAAGGCGGCAAGGAGGCCGCGCCACAATCATGGTCAGTTGTGGGAGAAATCAGATGCTGGTGAAGCGCCGCGAGGGGAGAATCAGGGGAGGAGCACGCAGCAGCAAGAGCAGAGCTCAACGGAGCGACGGACGAGGCGGGGAACGGGGAAACCGACGGCGGCATGGCGATCAACGAGGGAGGGGGGCAAGGGGAGACGGCAGAGGGCAGCAGCACTGAGGGCTCAAGGGACGAGGGAGGCGGATCGGGCGGGATGGCAGGCGTGGCGCAGAGCATGGGAGGGCAGAGCGGGGCGTGCGGGGCGACGGACGTGCGGGGGAGAGAAGATACAGGCGGCTCATTTTCGGCCGCGCTCTCAGAGGGCAAAGATGGGGGCGACATCCCAGCCGTCGGCGACGCCGAAGGGGAGCGCGACATCGGAGGGCTCGTGGACATCGGCGTCGCGGAGCGCTCTGATGACGGGGTCGATGGTTGCGTCGAGCGTCGAGGAGCCTCCAGATTCCCAGGATTTCGTCCGACACGTGGCGACTGCGAGCCCGAACACGACAACGGGACTTGCGATCTAACGCCGACGGACCAGTGTCCAGAATCACGGCAACATTCTTGTGGCGACGGCGAGCCCGAACACGACAACGGGACTTGCATTCTAACGCCACAGGAGAGGTGGTCCCCCTCGAGGCATCCTGCATGTGGCGACGTGTAGCCCGAACACGACAACGGGACTTGCGATCTAACGCCTGGGCCCAGCTGGGGCGTCACGAGGCATCCAGCACTTGGCGACAGTGAGCCCGAACACGACAACGGGACTTGCGATCTAACGCCGATGGGAGGCGACGAGGCATAAGAACCCGCAGACGACAGCGTCACTGGCGGAGACGGCGACACACATGAGCAGGGCGAAATCGGGGCCGGCGGCGAAATTGATGAGCAGGCGGGCGCCATCAGTGGAGTTCTCAAAGGCATAGATGGTGATGGGGCCGCCCTCAGAGTCGATGGGGAGCGCGCCATCGTCGGGGGCGCGGAGGAAGGCGGGGGGGAGGTCGCCGAAGCCGAAGGACAGCACGTAACTGAACCCGTCGCGGGGACCTGAACTTCATCAGCAGCGTCGGGGTCCGACGGGATCGTGGCGATGGCTGTGGAGACGGTGGCCGTGTCGCTGTCCGACGACGAAACGGCAGGCGTGAGCCGTGGAGACGACCCCGAGGATGAAGATGACGAAGAGCTGCGAATGAGGTAGTCCCGTCGGCCGAGCTGCTCGCGGTCGATCTCCGAGCACTTCAGCGGCGACGCGAGCTGCATCGAACGTGCACCAGCGAGAGCACAGCTGCGGAGGAGGGACGGGGACAGCGGCCACACGGGCGCCAGCCTCGCTTCGTTGTACATGCTGTACGCGGCAGCCAACGCCGAGAAGGTGGCCAGCGATGGTTCAGATAAGCCCCATCTGGCCATCCACGGGAGCGGAATCGGTCTCGCGAGAGCCTGCCGAAGGGCACGGTGCATGACAGGACATCTCGCGTAGTGCCGCAACGAGTCGAGCTTGCCCAGACAACCAAATACGCAGTGCTTCTGGCCGTCGGGTGAGATGATACGGGCCGAAGTCATCCAACCATCAGACCAAGTGCGCAGGACGGCCATAGCCCATGAGCACGGGCAGCGGGCGAGGACGCTCTTGCACTCGCCCCAATCGATGTTCGAAAGGAGGCCCGCCGATCTGCCTGCGAACTTCCTCAGGCGGAGCACGAAGAGGTCGGTGATGGGCTTGTTCAGCATCGCATAGGCCCGAAGCGCTTCGTGAGCAGCTCTCTGAGGTCGAGGACGAGGTCGGCCGCTCTCTCGAAGTTCAGCCAGCGCAACGTCGGCAGCACGAGCACCAAAGACGGCCAGCGGGCCAGGGGGAGGGGTGCCAGCGGCGGCCAGCGCCAGATTCTCCACAAAGGCGGGGGCCAACCAGAAGGACGGGTACGGCTTGCCAGTCGCCAGCATGGACAGGGTGGCATCGTACGGGGCGGAGCGCGCGTGGTTCCGCAACTGCTGGGGGAGCCTCTCCCAGCCTGGGAAAGTGTGCAGAGCAGCACGAGTGATGGTGGCGACGGCCAGGTGCCCCCACCGCGTGCAGCGCGGGCCGCCCCACTGCGCGATCTGCGTCCAGAAGTCGAGGGCGAAAGTGCCGAGCGGGATGCGGAACACCTGCGCGAGCGTCGCCAACTCAGGCTGCAGCACTGACGATGGCGGCCAGCAGAATTGGGCAACGTAAGATATGGTCGTAACGGCACGAGTATTGTACAGTGTAGCGGAAAGGCTGGCAGGAGTGGTTCCCCGCCCAATGGCTTGGGCCCTGAGACGCAATTTGGCGACGGGATCAATCCAACAGGTGGACGGAACGACAGCAGGCCCCAGCCAGAGGCCCAGGTAGAGCAACTTCGGAGCCACCTCGAACGAGCTCCACTCGGGGACCAGATGGGAGACCCAGAAGGAGACTGTGGCTGAGAGGTCGGGCGAGAACCTGTCAGACAGCGGGACAATCTTGCATTTCGAGACCTTCAGGGCGAGGTTGGCCATGTCCGAGGCCATCTGCATAACCCGATACACATGTACTAGGTGCCGTATGGCCAATAACGTGCCCCCAATGTCGTCAGCACAGGCCCGAACCAGGCCAAGGCCAGCGGCCTCCACCCGAGAAGCCAGGTCGACCAAGAAGACAGCCGTACTCAACGCATAGAGAGTGCCCGATAAGGCACAACCCTGGATGATGCCGCTCTGGATCCAGAAGATGTGCACTAGCGAGCCTAGGTGCGAGACAACCCCTTCCACCGATGCATAGAGGAACGTGACGAAGGACACGAAGGCTTCGGGCAGCTTGAGGGCCCTAAGGGAGAGAATGAGGAAGTCCTGATTCAGAGACGGGAAGGCCTGGCCGAAGTCCAAGGAATACAGCACAGGAATATCAGTAGACCCGTGAGGTACGACCGACATCTGACGACTCGAAACGTCGAGCTCGAGGATGTTGTTGCCGAAATTCCTACCGGGTATGAATCCACGCTGGCACGGCGGGGCGAGGGATACCAGGGCAGGGCGGATCGCCCGATTGACGGTGGAGGAGATGAGCTTCAGGTCACAGTTCCTGAGGCCCAAGACTCGAACCTTGTCGGGGGAGCGGGAACAGCTGGCATCGCGGAGCTCCAAGTCTGTGACGTTTTTGGGCAGAAAAAATCTGGATCGTGTCACTAGTATTCGCAAAGAGTTCTTGGCCACTGAGCACCCAACCAAGGGCGTCCCATAATATGTCAGCCCCCCACGAGGACGCCGCCCACGCAGCATGCGGGAGAGCATCAGGCCCAGGAGCGGAGTGTTGGGCAGACCGTATTGCTCGACGTAGCATATTTTTCGACGGCGGGGGAAGGTGTAGGTCGGCAGGAAGGTCAGGAGCAAGGCGGCGAAGGTAGGGAGCAGCAGCAGCACCGTCCCATGGCTTTTTCTGGAAGACGGGGGCCCAGTGCTCCGAGAGCACCCGCAGGCGGTCAGAGGGTACGCTGACCGCAGAGCCATCTGGCGCGATAACCGCTGAGAGCGAGATCCTGCGATTGAGAGGGGACCAGAGACGAGCACGCCGTTCAAGCGCACGAACCTGGGCACGAATCTGGACGCGGTCACCTTCACGCCGTCTGCGATCTTCAAGTTCTGCCTTCGCGGACTCGGCAGCCTCAGTCTGGACCTGGTCGACCCATGCCTGGAAGGACGGCGGGTGGCGGAGTTCGACCTTCCCGTCGGTAATCGAAATCATGTCAATGGCCAGGGGGTGGGAGTCCTGGAGCCTGGAAGCCACACGCAGGTCTTGCCTCCATACAGCACGGGCCAGAGCACGAGCGAGCAGCAGGCAGGTGTGCGGGTGATGCGGCCTGTCCCGAAAGAGGGTGTCCCTGGTCTCCGCGGCCGAAATCTTCAAAAGCTCCTTGTACTTTTCAACCTTGAACGGGGGCGACATGGAGTCCCACGGGATGCAGGAGCACAGCCCCTCCAGGCGCCTCTTGAAACCAGGCTCCGAGAACAGGTGTTTGGGAATGGGGCGAGACTCCACAGGTCGAGGCGGGCGGCAGGCAAGCGAGAGAACAACAGCGGCATGGTCAGAGATCTTTTTGTCGAAGACAGCCGCCGGCGTGCCAAGCGCGCCAATCTGGACATGCAACTGGCAGAGCTGCCAGCCCGTGATCGAGCAGAAGACGCGGTCGATCGTCGCGCACGAGTTGTTGAACTTCTCGTAGTGCGTGGGGTCCTCGCACGCAATCTCCGTCAGGAGGGCGAGAGCCTGGCGCCACTTGGTCGCCTGCACGTGGTGGCACTTCGACAGCTTGCGCGCGGCCGCCGCAGGGGCAGCGAGCGCAAGAGCCTCGTGCGTGGCAAAATTGAAGTCCCCGAGGACAAAGGTGGTGTACATGTCGGGGTCGAGAGCAGCCGAACGTTGCGATGCTCGTATCGCGGCAGCCACTCCGAGAACTTGCTGGGCGGACAGACCATGATTGTGAACGTTGAAGATGTCGAGCGTGCGGCAGTCATCCCGAACACGGACTAGCATCGCTCGGCCAGGTACCAAGACAGTGGAGGATGTCGACGGTGCGGAGAACCCCTGACAAGCCAACGGCGGATGCACCACAGCAACTCCACCCCGCCGATGCCCGTCATCTGCGTCGGAAATGAAGCTGGAGTGGATCGTGGGGCCTGACGCGATCGATCTGAAGAACGAGACGAGCTGGAAGTGGTCCTGGTGCACCTCCTGCAGCGCGATGACCGTGGAGAGGGGACGAAGACTGAGAACATACTTTCTCTTCAGAATGGCCTTGTCCCCGCCAGCCTGAAGAAGTGCCCGAGAATTCCAAGTGGCAATCCGAAACGTAGACGCCGCTGACCCAGGCGGCGGGGGAGGGAGATGAAATAGTCCAGCAGCGCTAAAGACGCCACTGGCTGGGGTCGGACGGGTGCGTGAGCTCCTTGACCGCATTGCGAAGTGTGTCGATAGCCATGGCGTGCTTGGCGAGCTGCGCGGAGTCCCAGTAAATCTTGGGCGGGGTGTCGCCGTGGAAGACATTGACGTGCATGATCTTGTCCCAACCGATGGAGAGGACGCCATGCTCGCGGTCGGAGTAAAATCGCTTGCCAGGGTACTGTAGCTCGACGATCGCCCTGGCCTTGCGTAGGGTGACCTCGGTCTTGATACGCTTGGGCGACTTGTCGGGGCCCAGGTGCAAACGGCAGCGCTCGGCGCCAGGGGGGTCGACCCAGAACTCCTTCCAGCCATCGGGTCCCTTGAGGAGCCAGGTGGTCTTGCTGGCACGGCGCGACGCGATGGTGGCCGAGCCCGAGAAGCAGATCTCGAACCTCCTGGCCGGAGACTCGCCTTTCTGCTTGATCTCGTACTGTTCATCATCAAAGCCAATCTCGCCGAGCCACGGGCGCAGCGAGGAGACCACTGATGCCAGGGTAGTTGGTCGCTGCGAGACGGCAACGACGATCGTGGTGTCCTCCTCGCGGTCGAAGGAGGTGGGAGCAGCAAGCTGCTTCCTGGGAGTCTGCTCAGCGATGGCCATCTGGCGACGTAGCTCCGCCAGCTGTTCTTGAAGATCATGAATGGATTTGTCGTGATCGTCAGCTCGTCCCTCAAGCGCGGCGATGCTGCGCTTCTGCTCGTCGAGCTGGGCTTGGAGGCGCCTGTTGAGCGAGTCGAGCCTGGGGGCAATCGCCGATTGAACCTGGCCCTCGATGGCACTGGACTGCTTTGCCACCTCGCCCTGCATGGAGGACAACATCTTGAGCAGCGTGTTGTGGTTGGAGGTGATGGTCTTGGCGACGGACTCTGACACCTCGGTGGTGATGGTGTCGCGCATTGAGGCAAATTCCTCTCTGCACAGCTGCCGAAGAAAGTCACCATCATCATCGTCATCATCGAGAGGAGAGGGAACAGGAGCACCGGCACTGGACGACGCGAGGGCTTGGCGCTTGCGCTGGGTGAAGCGGCCCGTCCCCTGGCCCTTGCCCGAGCGCTCGCCGTCAGGGAAGGTGGGCATCTCCTCAAGCTCAGCAAGCATCTGGCGCTCCTGGGTACTGGCAGGCGCAGCAGGGACTGCATCAGCCATGAGAAGCACTGGAAACGACAGTGTCCGCCAGCCTTTGACAGCTGGGTGGCCCTGGAAGAAGGGCTGCCTCACTCAAAACGGGCCTGTCCCGATCTTGAGCCAAAATGGCAACGGAGGAGGAGGAGGAGGAGGAGGAGGAGGAGGAGGAGGAGGAGCGAGGAGGAACACAAGGAGTAGGAGCATAAGGAGGAGGAAGAGGAGGAGGAGGAGGAGGAGGAGGAGGAGGAGGAGGAGGAGGAGGAGGAGGAGGAGGAGGAGGGAGGAAGAGGGGGAGGAGGAGGAGGAGGCACAGCGTTCCCAGAGGCAGACGTGGAAGAGTTCCGCGTAGAGCAGGCCGGAGCGGCCAGCCGAGGCAGCGTCAACCGTGGCAGCGGCCGGGGCCGAGGCCAGGCACAAATCACAAATGAACGCACGCAAATCCCAAGAGTCCAAATCCGTCGGCCCCCTTGTGGGGCCGCCAAGATGTAGGCTCAGGGTTTGCTGTTCCCTGCGCCAGGTCGAGTTTTCAGTTTCCACTGTTCTGCTTCTTGTTGCTTACTGTTCCTTGTTGTGGACCGCGCGAGGGGGGGGGAGCCGAATACCGCCCTGGTTAGCACCTCCCGGATGGGGTCTCAAAATTTCTGGGGGGTCGAAATGGACACCCCTCACGCAGATCGGCGGGGTCAGGGTTCAAAAACACATGAGATCTGCTACATTTCTGAAATTCGGCGGCACCCCTCACGCAGATCGGCGGGGTCAGTGTCCAACAACCGTTGGGATTTGCGAAATCTTTACAATTCGGTAGCACCCCTCACGCAGATCGGCGGGGTCAGTGTTTAATAACCGTTGGGATTTGCCACATTTCTAAAAATTCGGCGGCACCCCTCACACAGATCGGCGGGGTCAGGGTCGAAAAACAAATGGGATTTGCCACATTTCTAAAATTCGGTAGCACCCCTCACGCAGATCGGCGGGGTCAGGGTCGAAAAACCAATGGGATTTGCCACATTTCTAAAAATTCGGTGGCACCCCTAACGCAGATCGCCGGCGTCAGGGTCGAAAAACCGTTGGGATTTGCCACATTTCAAAAAATTCGGTGGCACCCCTCACGCAGATCGCCGGGGTCAGGGTCGAAAAACCAATGGGATTTGCCAGATTTCTGAAAGTCGGTGGCACCCCCCACGCAGATCGCCGGCGTCAGGGTCGAAAAACCGTTGGGATTTGCCATTCTGAAATTTGGCGGCACCGCTCACGCAGATCGGCGGGGTCAGGGTCAAAATGGGATTTGCCACATTGTTGAAATTCGGCGGCACTCTCGCGCAGATCGCTGGGGTCAGGGTCCAAAAACACATGGGATTTGCCACATGTCTTGAAATTCGGTGGCCTCCCTCACGCAGACCAGCGGGGTCAGGGTCCAAAAACACAAGGTGTTTGCCATGTTTCTCAAATTCGGTGGCACTCCTCATGCAGATCGGCAGGGTCAGGCTCGAAAAACCAATGGGATTTGCCACATGTCTTGAAATTCGGTGGCACCCCTCACGCAGATCGGTGGGGTCAGGGTCAAAAAACAGATGGGATTTGCAACATTTCAATACTTCGTAGGACAGTTTTTTGCACAGCATGCACGAGCAAGCTCGAAATGCAACACTAATTCAACAATATCATCATGATCTCACTTGTCTTGCGGATTACTCTTCGTCTTCGCGTGAAGTCCCGACGCTGCTTCACGGCGGCGCCAAGGCCTCATGATTTCGCTCTTGCATTGCCCATTATCCGAGAGAGGGGGCCAGCGGCAGGGAGCGAAACCCTTACTTTACAATATTTTCCCAGGAAGTCGACGATGTTTAGTGTCTGTGTGCTGTTTCCCTCCTGGCAGATGGCGGGTTCTGGGAACCCTCGATCCAAAGCAAATGGCAGTGTCTTGTCAGTGGTTCAAAGATGGGGTCCTGAGGGTGGGGTCCCAGGGACGAGGTGCCTCAAACAATGTAGATGCACCCTTGGATCCCTTCCCATCACCAGGGCTCAGGACCCTATCCCTCAGGACCCCACCTGTGAGCCGCCGACTGGAGGGCGCCTCTCTACTTCCGCCGAACTTCTGCTGGCGGACACGCCCCCTATTCACTTCCGCCGCCTTCCGCCGGCCTTCCTCCCGTGGAGAGGTGGCAACTCCTTCGATCTTCGAAGAGGAAGCCTTCCCTGCATCGCCCCGTGCAGCCACCGTGCTACCATCAGGGACAGCAGAAGAGGGAGCGAACGGGGCTCTCCCGGCCGCGGCGAGCCTCGGCCACGAAGAGGTCACCCGACCCAATCTCAGAGGGGCGGGCCAGGAGCCCAGAGCCGCTCCTGAACCCGACGTGGTCCTGATTCCAGCGACTTGACTGCACCTCTGGCGCCCCGAACAAATGGAAGCGACAGGCTTTTCCATCTGCTCGGCCTCTGGAGAAGCCCCCCTCGGGCCCTGGGGCCACCATCACAGCGCCAAAGAAGAGGAACAAACCCGCTCCCGGGAGGGAGCCGAACCGATGTCCCACCTCACGAAAACTCGTCCACTTTTCTCGAACCGTCAGAGACCCCTGAGACCAAAGTCGGGTCGGGATTGCTCATGAAATATATTCGCACCACAGCCATTCAAGATACTCGGAATTTCGGGCTCCACGCCCCGCTCGCCCAGCATTTTGGTAGGCTGCATCTTCACCATCCATGTCAAGTGCTTAAGCGAATTAGGGCGGAAACGACGATATAACTGTAGCGCATGCAAGCCCACGTCAGTAGCCTTATCCATTTGTTTAAACTCCTCTTAGCACGCGCAGAAACGCTGAAACATTTCATAGGTCGTCGGGCGGATGCCGAGTGTTGATGGCGCGTCGCTGCAATTACAGCGAATGACCCTCAAGGGCCGAATAGCTGCTTCAGCATCTCCAGCCCTACGCACCGCACGTGCCTGGCCGATGGCATCTTCACCGATTGGTGGCGAAATTGTCAAGGACAACGTATTGCCAATTTCTTTGTTGCAACGATCACGCGAACACGCAAAACCCAAACCGGAGAGCTTCTTTTGCACCGACAACAGCCCAGTGGCACTTTGGCCATCAGCTGTGGTTGCGGGAAGATGCATTAAAAAACGCGCCTGGGGTGCCTCATCGATGTTATCATTGGTCAATGTCTCGTAAATGCACACCGAGAGTGCATTGTTGGAGCGAATCTGCATGGTCGCTTTGGTGTCCAACTCGCTGCCACTACTTCTTGCGTGTAACTCAGCGAGCTAAGCATCATGCCCCCTGTCTGTAAGCTTAAATACAAGGCCAGGATGACGGTCTGCGGCGGCAAGCACCGACTCCCCGAGAATCATGTGCCCCGCGCGGAGGTCTCGTGTCGCACTGAAGGCCACTCTATGTGTGCCCTGTGTTTTCTTGATTCCATCAACCACGTCCTTCACCATCTCCCCCCTACGAGCTGCGAGGTAGATCCTGTAGTTTTCAAACAGATGACGCCCCTGCTGGAAGACATTCTTCAGGCTTGCAACGCTCCTCTGCTGTCTTGCCAATCCTGTCTCGGGGGTCGAGGTGCACGGCTGCATGCTCCAAGAGGAAACCGATCAGGGGAATCGTACGGCAAATGGCAGCGAGGTGCAATGGGGGTATCACCAAAGGCGTTTTGAGCATGAACGTCTGCCTGGTAATCAATGCATAAGCTGCAAGTTTCAACTAGCTTCTGGTCGGCCTCCGCGGTTCTCCTCATCTGCATGACCGTGCCAAGGCTAGCCAGGTGATGTAGCACCTCTCATCCATGTTCCGTTGTCCGAAGGCAAATTCCAACCTGGCGAATGAACTCGTTGATGTCATCAGCATTCTCGCCCAGGCTAGAAATGAACGGTGCTGCGCACGATTTTCAGATCTGCTCAAGCTCTCCAATAACACTTGTGTGTTGGTCAACTGTCCGATTGACATGACCAGTTGCAATGCACGACGCGCTTGCGTCGTGTGCACAGTGAACTCGCCGATAGTTTGAAACCCTTCGAGGACATCCCACCAACACTGAAAACGCCTGAACGGAGATCGCCATAACTACTCGGTATGAGATGCACTCAGAGAATTCCGGATTGGAAGATCACAGGGCAGATGATTACGGCAGCAGGACAACATTAAACATTGATTGCCTTGAACCCAAATGCCTTGAGCCAAATTGGCAACGGAACTTCACGAACATCCGTTCACGGCGACGAGAAGGGGAGTAAGCATCGTATACGAGTCATGATGGAAGGTTGGACATTCAGATGCACGCGCAAACCAGGATCTTTCCACTGCGCCGAGTTCTGTTTGACTGCGTCGGAGCTGGACTCGCCGCCGCCACAGCAGGAGTCGCCGCGAGATCTCGGCCAGAGCGCGCTTCAGGACAGGTCTTGACACTCGATCCTGGCCGGGGAGGCAGCAACGCGCAACCATGGCGATGAGCAGGGCGCGGCGGGCCGCAGAAGCGTGGACCGACTTTCTGGCCAGGTCTCGCGCGAAAGGCAGGGCGAGCCTCGCGCGCACGGCCCCACGCAGCCGCAGGAGGCCGAGGGGCCGGGCCCCCCTTCTTCTCATCATCCTTCTCCTCCTCCTCCTCCTCCTCCGCCTCCTCCTCCTCCTCTTTCCCCTCCTCCTCCTCCTCCTCCTCCTCCTCCTCCTCCTCCTCCTCCTCCTCCATCCCTCCTCCATCACTCCTCCATCCCTCCTCCATCCCTCCATCCCTCCTCCTCCTCCTCCTCACCGAAGTCTGCCAAAGGAGTGCTGCACCCGGGCGAAGCGGTGAGGCAGGCCACGGTCAGGAACATCTGCTTTTAGCGCGTCGTGGCGGCAGCCCTGGCGACACGCCATGCCCTGCAATCGGACAGCGCATCCCTCCGCTCGGGACGCTGACGCTCGGGCGTGAGGACGTGGGTAGCGTGTCGCGCCGAAGCGTGGTGTCGAGCCGATGTTCCTGACCCTAGTGCTCAGCACAGCTGTACAATGAACGCATGTCAACATTCGCGGCGATAACGG